TCACACAGAAAACCCTTGGGCTGCGCGGCACTGGGCACCGCAGGGACTGACGGAGGGAGTGGGAGTTGCCAGTGCTTTCGGAGAGCAACAGAGCAGAACTGCTACATTTCCCAGGCTGCATGGCCTTGGACCCCTTCTAGAATCCCACCCAGTGAAATGGAAGTGCAGCAGCAGTGTGTACTCAAGAGAATGCGGACAGAGGGCTTCAGCTGCGGCACATCTGAGAACACGGAAGTCCTGGACGTGACCTGCAGGCCAGTGCATCGATGAGTGGCTGGGAATGACACAGCCATAGTGCAGAACGAAGCGGGCCTGTGAGCGTCGGCTTAAAGCCACGTCCGAGACGTAGTCATGAAAATGTGCACTGCAGAATTGACACCATGGCGCAAACCCGATTTTGCAAAAGGAACAAGAGCTTGTGCGCGTGTGCGTGCGCACGCGCATGGAGAGAACGGGAGGGGACTCGCACATCACATGACAGCGCTTGGGTGGTGCACGGGGAGTGCATAGGCCCCTGTATGTTAGTTTTCTTTAAGGACCGGCCTTTACTCCAAGTTACAAAATGAAGTACTAAGCCTAAGATCTTGAAGAGCCGCCAGATGGAGTAGGGGCCTGGGGGGGAGGGGGCAGCACCGGCCCAGCTGCCCCTCCCCCACTCCCACCCATTCTCCCAGGGGGCATCACCAGCTCCACCTCCCCCTGCCCTGAACCTCATCTCAGGCCGTGCCCAGCCAGTCCTCCTGGGCTGTCTCATGTTGACGCCGCCCCCGCTGCCCAGCCCACCTGCTCTCTACAGGCCTGCTGCCCCGGCCCTGACCCCTGTTCTCTGAGAGGTCCAAAGGCCACCTTGAGATAACCCAGCTCCAGGGAGATGGGGAGGGGGAGGTTCGGAGAGGGAGGGGCAGGGAGCAGGAAGGGCCTGGAAGGGGTAGGCTGCCTATTCAGGGCCTCTTAGGAGCCTCACAAGGCAGCAGCCACTGGGAACGGAGCACTCATTATGTGCCAGGCGCTGTGCTAACCCTTTAAATACCTTACCAGGTACCAGCCTCACAGCATAGCTGACAGTAAAGGTAATGGGTGCTGAAGCTTCATCTGGCATCTCTGGCTTCAGCTTGCATATCTGTAAAATGGGTGTGCTGAGAACAGTACCTTCCTTGCAGAGCTGATGAGAGGCTTAAAACTTTATAACATACATGTACATTCTCACAGCTCTTACCTAAATGTTCTTATTTATAGCTTTCTATCTTTTTGCTGTATATATTCTCATGTATCACTACCTATGGAAATCTATCAATACATATACATTAGAAGAGAGCCAATATTCATTAAGCGCTTGCTCTTGTCAGTAATTTGTCTTCAGACTCGTAGATAACAGCCCTGGTGATGGACGCAGACTGGACCTAGTTTAATCAGCTCCACAAACAACAATTAAGTCTTCCCCGATGGCCACCATGATTGACAGGAGAGGCAGGGAAGGCGTCACCCAACGCTACCCCTGCAGAGTTGGTGCAGATGGGCAGAATCGGGTGCACCTTGGGCGGATGTCTCTGATAAAGGACGACAGCAGGGACTGTGAAGGTGGATTCTGAGCTGCAGGAATGGGCACAACCATGGAAACAAAATATTGATGAATGGCTTCAAAGTTAAAATTCAGCCTAGCTTCAGCTGGGTTGCACGGTACTTTACAAGCTCTGTCTGGTCTGGTCCGTCCTCTGTCCTCCTGGAGACCTCAAGAGCAGGAGTGAAATTGGTGACGTCATGAAGAGCTGTCCCTGCTGTTCCCCCGCCGTGCCCAGCGCGGCGCGAAGCCCTGTGTTCTTGGCTTTGGTTGTGTAGCGCACATTGGTCATACACAGTCACGGCTGGGGCGGCATTTCCACACGTGCGTGTGCACACTCCGATCTCGTTCCCCCGGGACGCTGCCCTCCCTCCTCCTTCCCGCCCCATCTCTTCCAACCCCTTCCTTTTCTCTCATCATGTCCCGTCCACTTTCATGTTGTTTCTCCCCCCTAAATTCCACGCACGCAAGAAAACATGCAACACTTGCCTTTCTGTGTCTGGCTTGTGTCACTTAAAGTGATGATCTCCAGTTTCACTCATTTTCCTGCAAAGGACACGATTTCATTCTCTCTACGGCGTTATTTCCTCCTCTTAGGGCTGAGTACTACTCCACGGACGCGCCGGCCTGGTTGCACCTCCCTGGCAAGGTTGCGCCGGCACTTACACAATGTGGGTAAACAGCTGTGTGCTCCAATCCCTCCCGCGAGGTCTCTGGGACAGGTCTCTAGTTTGAGCCTAGCCTGGCTGGAAAGCAAAGCCAAACCAATCCTTCTGCTCCTTTCCAGAGGCTTCTGCTTGAACAACAAGGGTGCCCCCTAATGGGTAAATGTCACCTCACTTCAAAACAATTCAGACCCGGAGGGTGGTGGGCAGTGGGCAGAGTGGAGAGATTGGCAGGGACAAAGAAAAACTGCTGAGAAACAAACTGACTCAGTTCGTTTCAGCATGTGTTAAGGAGGTAAAAATGGAAGTGGTTGCGGTGGTGCGAGCTTGCAATCCCAGCACTCTACGAGGCTGAGGCAGGAGGATTGCACTGTTTGAGCCCAGCCTGGGAGACTCGATGAGAAACTGTCTCAAAAAGAAAAAATAAACTAAGAGTTAGACGGTTAGCTCAGTGTGGAGGGCAGGGTTTCATTCCCAGCACCACCAAAAAATGGTACAAAATAAGAAATACAAATGTCCAACAAAAAAGATAGCTTCTGTTGATTCCTTTATGTACTGAAACACAAGAAACCAAATAAGCCAGAGTCACAGCACATTCAGTGGTTTGGAAAGAAACTGCTCAAAGGAAACTGTCCTGGAAAAGCAGGCTGGAAACAATTCTGAGGACACCATGCATCTTTTTAAAAGCTAATCTACATTTTACACCCTTTGAATCATGTATTGAACGCACATCCCATAGTTATACCTGCATGGTAGGACCACTTAGAAGCATGTTTGATCTTCGTTCCTCTGCATTTTCCAAATATGATAAAGCTAAATATTTAATTCTCCCTTTGGAGAAAAAGATTTCTGTATAAAAAAAAGATTTAAAATTATTTTTATTCTGCTCTTATGAAAGAAAGTCTCCTCAAAGGTCCAGCTTACTCACTTAAATTACTCGACTGTGTCTCATCACTAACCACACCGCTCATGTTTGGGGTGTCCTGCAGGAGACCCAGGAGCTCTGCCAGTGGGGGTCAAGGAGGCAGCTCATTTTGGCCCCTCTTCTGAGGAGGAAGGCAGAATGGTTTCCACCCATTTGACAACTCAGCAACGCTCTAGTCAGGCCTGCTTCTGGATCCCAAGTCCTACTTCCGGTTTCCAAGTCCAACTTGTGGTTCCCAAAGCTACAGCTAATATCCTTCAAGTGGGCACCTGGCTGCCTCTGCTAGCATTGGAAGGGCATGGACATCCTAGAAAACCCTTCCAGGCCTGAATACATCCTCCAATCAGAGTCAGTGACTGCTGACTTGACAGGGATTTCAATCTAAGGCACACAGCAGGCCTCATGTTGCTTCCTCTGAAATGGGACAGTAACTCTCCTCTTCAATCCCACCTGTGTTGAGGTAGCAGGAAATGGCAGTAGTTATCCTATGTGTTATTAACCCAGGGACCAGTCCTTCCTATCACTGTCCTTGGGAACAGGAAGAATGTGATATATCGAGGTTTTCAGGTGAAATTTGGAGAAATGGGAAATTGAAA